TATATATATATATATATATATATATATATATATATATATAAACACAATCACCCAAAACACATGCCACATGTACGTTTACCTCCGAACACCTTCACGGAAATTATTTTCGCCGACCAGATCGCACATCATCTTTACAATAACAGCTCCTTTCGTATATAAATGGTATGGATTGAAAGCTTTTTCTACCTCCGCTTCCGTTCTAAAACGTTTTACTAGCGGCACCTTCTCACTTGACGTCTGCAATCCAGTTAAGCAGTGGAACATAACAGAACGGAAGAAAATTGATGATATTCTGAAAAAAAAAGTGAGGCGGAACTGGTAATTTCAATAACCTGTCTTGACAGTAGCTGAGAAAGACGAAGGAAGTATTCGTTAGTGGCCAGAACTGGACGTTGTTTTTTCAGCAAATCACTTACGTAATATGATGCAAATCCTTCACTTAACCAAAGCTCAGACCAATCATTTATTGTAACCAAATTTCCAAACCTATGATATTAACAAAGTGAAATTATTTCGCTTACTTCTTAAGACATTTGAAAAATGCATTGGTGTGAATTCCAAACATTTACCATTGATGGACAAGTTCGTGTGTAATGATTTTTTCGATATCGTACTGTTCAGCCAATAAATCCACTGCCATGTTTGCGTTACCTCAACAGTAATCATTAAATACCACTGATGCAAAGTGAAATTTGCTGTGAATTTGAAGTGAAATACATGCTTGAATGCAATACGAACATTTGCTGGCCATTATCACATAGAAAATTTACTTTCGAGCAATGAATCTAACAAAAACTTCTCCTTCTGGAATACAATTAGTCCCCAATTTTCCATACCGCTGACTGGAAATGAATGAGCAGCTACAAAATCGATTTTTGAGAGAGGATAAGGTATCTGAAGCACAGCAGATGTTTTGCGTAGATCGAGACATTTAAGTCAGCAAAAGGAATGTAATGATGAATTGAAACCATGAATCTTCCAAAGCAATCAAGTATTTTAACCCATTTCAATTTAATTCGGTTCGGCTCAATTTGATTTATTTTTTTCACTACTCTGATTTTACTTAAAAACGTTTCATTTAAAAATTCTCTCGCTTACCTGTTAAAATTATTTGAATAATTGATTCATTTAACAGCATGAGAAGTTTTCTGCCGCAAGCTGAGTTTGCAATCTACTATATGCTGACTAAAATTTGCATGAAACTTCCTACATTTTTACTGGAACTTACAACAAACTCTTTTGCAAGCCGATCGAATATATAGGGAGAGAAGTTTGCAGCAAATTTGGCATAGACGAGATCTTCTGGAAATGTCCATATTGTGAGTGGTACATCATATCCGGTGCTCCTCTTTAAGCTGCTGTAAGGACCTTAAACGTTTATACTTAATTCACTGTTAGTTCGAATGATTTAGCGCAATTTTGATTTTTTGCGTATAAATTCCATTTAATTTTTGAAAAACTTGAATAAAAATTTAAATGGAGAATTTATGCTCTCCAGCTCACTTTCTCATATTATGTAATTTAAAAAAAAAAAAAAAACCGAAAAGCAAATGCGAGTAAAAACGTGGGAATTGGCGGTGTTTCTTGGAATTTGGTGCGAACAAAAGAGCATCGTTGCTTCTGAGTGCGATAAATTGGTGCTGCATTTGTTAAAACCGTGATCGAAGTTGAGTGTAGTATGGTTATGTTATATGTAGCCTCAAAAAGATATATTATTTCAAGGAGTTTCTGTTGCCATAAAATAATTATTTTTCAATTTTATCAATTTTTTATCAACGAAACACTTGAGTTATAAATATTTTTTAATGTTTTGAAGAAGTTATTGCCGTCAATCTAATCATATAAGCATAACACCTTCCAGATTGGTTCATCCCAACATGGAAAAAAAGTTCTCGCCAATGATGGCTGGAATTTTGTGGTAAAACTGATTATTGGTAAGTGCTGATTCTTTGGTGATGCATAATCATCCTAAAATATTAAATGATGCACCTATAAACTATATATGATTTAGCATTTGAAATAACAAAAAAAAAAATAACTGGATAATTAGGCATTTGTTAAGAGATTCTCAGAGGGAAATTTAATGAAGAATTATGACATGCATACTATAATTATTATGTATTTTGGGGACATCTTACGTATACCGCGGTACCACGTTATTCCAAAAAAAACAGAAAAGTTATAGTGTACAAATTATAACATTATGCAAATATGCTCCTTACATTTCCTAAACCGCGATAGCACTGCACTCCTCCATTGTTGTCCTCGCAAATCTTTGTAACAAATTGCATTTTGAGTGCATACCTAGAGTGTTTTGGTAGTGTGATCAGTATGAAACAAATTATAATCAATCAATCGTATCATATTATCATGATATCTGATATTTTTCTTTTGATGTCTCACTTGTTACCTTTTCTACAAAAACTTTATCTATGTCCTCACATGCTCTTTTAGTGGAGTCTTAACAGCATTAAAAAAGCGAACCATCCATGTTTCAAAGGTTGTTTGAGTAAGAGTCGAATTATCCTAGCACGTTGCTCTCGTTTGAATTTCTCTATACCAACATTCTTCCCTGAAAAGTTGTGGCAAGTTAAAGCAAATGAAAAGAAAGGTTGCAATAAATGATCTGATCTCAATTCAGGAAGAGTCGGTGCGAGAAACTGAATATTTTGCACGCGAAATCACGCAGCAAATGGTTAATGACAATTTTTTAATTGATCTTTTTCACAATTAAAATAAGGAACATGCAAACCTTGATGATGGAGACGCACTCTATCGATATGAACATTTGGCGCTGCATGAAATTCAACTTCATGGGATGCTGTAGAATTACCATACGATTCAAGGAGTATCGATACATTACCGAGAATTTGTTCTTTTGAAGTCACCTCCGTAAAATCCAACTAAACAGAAATGTATTCGTCTTTATGTTATCACTCACTGAAATTGCTGAGAGAGAATCTCTCAAAATGCAATTTATAATCCTAATATTTGGAAATGAAATATTCAAATTTTATATCATTAGACAGAAGCTATGAATATTGTAGTTGAAAGATTTTGAAATATTTTCCTTAATAAATATTTTGCAAAACTACATGTTTTAATTAATTCAAAACAGCTAGTTTTCATTTCATATCTATTCATGCTTATACATCTCAATGTTCAATAGTTTATGGTTGGAACTGATCTAATATTCTGTGATGTAAGGCAGTAAAAGTTTTAATAAAGGGAATAAAGCGAGTTACCTGTAGATCGTAATGTTCAGGTCGAAGTATTCTGGGTAATCTTGTCAGAGGTACTTTTCGATGTTTCTGGATTGCAGCGGAACTTACAGAGAAATGAAGTGCCCTTGGAACGATAGAATTTGATGAGGGTGGGTATACACTCAACAACGTAATATTCTTCACCGTTTCTTCTTCGTTGTCCTAACATTTTTTTATTATCCAAAATTTTAGATTAATTAGTACAAATGTGGAAAATGTTCACCGCAACTTTTATTTCATTTCTGCGATATTTTTTTTCCTTTTTTCTTTTATATATATTTATGTATATTTAATTCCTTCGAAAAGTAAATGGTTGTTCCGTTAGCTTAACTAGTGAGTAAATTAAAGTAAATGCTTAGACGATGAGCATTGTGAGCATATTTGGAAAACTAGTGGTCGGTCGTCTTCGTCGTGCAATTGCACTGTTATTTCTGATATGAATAATTATAGATTAGATAAAACGTTGAATAGCAATATTACCAAATCAACTTCAGAAATGCTGATCGGTGGGTTAGTGCTCGAACTCGATGTTGTTATTGTGTTAATCAGTGAACTAGCTATCTTAAATATTATCAGTTATGTCATTGAAAAGAAATGTATTTTACATAAACTAAATACGAATTAGTCTGACGCTCCAAAAAAGTGTCGGTTTTGCAGAGACTACGAAAAAGTATGGAACTTTGGGTATCGGAGAGTTTAGAAAAGTAGCTTAAATTCTGACTGTTTATGAATTATCGAATTTTCAATTTTCAGAATTTCTTAAAAGGAAAATAAGTTAGCCATAGTTTCAAATAAACATCAATAAATGTGACAAACCATATTACCTGATTTGGATTCTTCGCCGACTTCGCAACCCAGTGTCCTATCAAAAATGCCAAAAGTACACCGAAAATAAGCACCGTCAACATAAAGAAAAGCAGAATACATTTTCCCAACCAAGTCGAATATTTCTGGTTGACAAATGAACAATGTGATGAAAAACTGCTCACTGTACCTTAATTTCGTTTATTACTGATTTTCTTTAAAAAAATCCAAAATAGAATCCAAAATAATTCAAATATAGGATTTTGGATTAGCATGTGTCACAGGGGCTTACTGGTCTTGCAACAGGCCGAAAAATTTCCATAGCAAAATGCAAAATCATATCATGCCATCTTAATATTTGAGGGAATATTCTAAAAACAAACCTGGAAAGATGATAACTGAACCAGTGTCGTTAAAATTCCACAATTCGGTATCTCCAATGGGCGAATTTTTCAGTGAGGTTCGCTCATTAGTCATCGGTTAACAAATTTGACACTAAGATCCAAGTTTTTTAATGTCGGGAAAAAATTGGGAGTAGAAGCTATAAGTAGGACAAGGTGAAAGTCATTACAAAGTGTTAGGGGATTTTTAATTCGATAAATTAAGTTCTCACAAACAGTACAGATTGAAAATAAAAAAAAATTTTTTTCAAGAATTTTATTTGAAGGACTACCGATGATAACTAGAAATATGATGCACTTGTAATATTCTTGTTGTAGTTGCTAGGGCAAAATCTGGAATTCTATGATCGTAATAGTAGCCAAGAACGACTTTTTCAAACGCATTACTCCGTTATGAATCTTTATAATACACTATTTTTTATTTAGTCCTTTTTCAATATTGTTTTACACGAGTGCTTTTTTTTTCCCCAAAAATTATTCTTCAATTTATTCTTTGTTATCCAAAATCCTTCCAAAGCATAACATTTGAATATTTGTTCTTGATCGTAATTTGTCGTTCTTTCTCCTTCTTTTCTCCTTTTCTCACCTCCATAAATATGTTAAACAAAAAATAATGAATGAACCCTGCTACCCGTGCGTTAGGATTTTTTTATCCTTCACTTGGGTGAGAATTAAAACATGTAAAACATATGAATAAAGTAATTTAAAAAGTTTCACAACGCTCAGGGATACTACAAAGGTACACCAAAAGGCCTAATTGCCATTAAGGCCAGCCGTATCATCTACAGCAACACTCTCAACCAGCATTTTCCATTTAAATTTAAATTTAAACGAGTAATGAGTAAAGACAGGTGCAACATTTTTGAAACTATTATGGCCATTTTTTAGAAGGAACCAACGAAAGATGATTAACAAGAAATTAAATTAATCCAAAATAGCAGATATAATTTTGTCCTCAAGATTATAAAAAATCTCGGACAAAAATGAAACCTCTGGATTAAAAATTTCGAAATCCTCAAGAGAAACGAAAAATATTTTCCTTACTATTTTGTAAAGCTTAAAGTATTTTTTTGCCGAAAACTTTCGTTATGCTGCCATTTAAATGCTGTTTTATGAAAACTGACAAAAACAAAAATGCTATTTATAAATATAAAAAAGAAATGAGTATAAAAATATAAAAAAGGAAAATATAGAAAAAAAGTATAAAGAAGAAAAAGTGATTATAAAAAATAAATATAAATATAAGAAAGTATACAAATGAAAAAAGGAAAAAGTAACGTTATCCCAGCCACTTTCATTTTCTTTCTGGAACTATAAAGTTAGCTTTCTGGGATGTTGCTTATTTCTGGCATGGTTACAAATGTAACT